CAGTCTTAGCATTAGTGTAACTCTTAGCTTGGTCAGTGACTACCTTTGTTCAACACAAAATGGACACTCTCAGCTGCAGAATAGAAGCCAAGTTGAGGTAACATATCTGAATAGCAAAGTAGCACTTACTAAGTTTAGCTTTTAGCTAGTTGTCCTCCTCATCTGTCGTTGCTGTTGTTTGAATAATCCATTCTCTCCACTGTGATGACTTTAAAGACAGTTACCGCAGTAATGGTTGCAATAAGATATTTGGCTTTCTAGCAGTGACATTAGCTATCTGCCTTCCTTCTGCAATTGCCAGCTAGCAAAAAATAAATAAATAAATAAATAAATAAAAATTCAAAAAGCCAGCCCCAAAAAATCCACAACAATGCAGCTGTATTTTTTTTAAAGAATGATGTATTCTTAGTCTTTAGACCAGAAAATGTGGTTCTAGAGCAGGGGTCGGCATCCAAAATGTAAAGAAGAGCCATTTTGTCCTTTCAAGAAAAATCAAACCACCTTGGGAGCCACAACATTTATGTCCATTTTACCATCTTGGCTCTAAGTATGTCTCAGTATGTTCTAATGTACTAGTACAGGCTAGAAATATAATATAAACAAAAATGCAGATTTAACTTAGTTTGCTCTGCTTTAATCTTCAGCTCAGCTTTAGTTGCTTTTCGCCATCTCCGGCAGGAAACCTTTCCGCAAAAGTAGAATAGTTTTTTATAAAATGTCTCTCAACGTTTGATTTTTTACGAGGCTGAAGTCAGCTTCTCATTCGCCAAGTTCTTGTTCGAATTTTCCCATTCCACCTTAAATGGTGCCTGAGGCACCAGAATGTAACTGCTTTGAACAAGAAACTGGCGAACGAGAAGCTGGTGAACGAGAAGCTGGCGAACGAGAAGCTGGCGAACGAGAAGCTGGCGAACGAGAAGCTGCCTTCAGCTTCGCGACTTTTTAGTGTTTGACACTTTCTAGCTGTAGATTAAACATATCAGGAAACCTTATAAAGGCAAATAAGCATGTCAATTCATCTCCAAATGATCGATGTTCATCTTAAACCTCTCTTTGCCTATTCATTAGCTACTAGCTAGGTGAGACTGTTGTCATTGCTATGGTGACCAGCAGTCTGCGCGCCAATCTTCAGGGTCAAAGTGTGAATTAGCAGTTATACATTAACTCCAGCGTTTAAGACCATTTAGTGTTAAAACTGTGTTGAACAATCAACAGAGCTTTATTTTACTGCAAAGGAGGATTATTTTATTTTTACCTACAAATCTGATTCTGCCGTTGAGCAGCTCCGGAGCTGCATGTTGCCGACCTCTGCTCTAGAGACTATGGCAGCACTGCTGAAGGATGTGAGTAGATGTTTACAACAGATGCAGTGATAATTACATCTTTTATTTTGGCCAAAGTGTCCTTTTAAATCTGCACTACATGTCCCAAAGTTTGTAGGCACCTGCTTATCCAGTGCTTCTGAAATCGAGGGTATTAATAGGGGGCCCCCCTCCGCTTTCTATAGTAACAGCCTCTACTTTTCTGGGAAGGCTTTACACTAGTCGGTGAAACATTGCTGTGAGGATTTGACTGCATTCAGCCACAAGAGCGTTAGTGAGGTCACGTACTGATGTTGGATGACCACCACACCAACTTATCTCAAAGGTATGGAGAATGCAGTTTCACTGTTCCCCAGCCCAAAGCTGGGGTGCTTTATATCCCTGGCTGACACTTGTATTTGGGCATGGTGACCGTAAACTCACGTGAAGCTGTTGGAATCTATTGGTCAGTGTTTTTCTATGGCATTTATAAAAGCTGTGTTCACATTTGAACGCCTGTGTCAGTAACAAGGTGCACCTTAAATTAGCTGAATTCACTTATTAGAAAGGCTGTCTGGATATATAGTGTATTTATTAACTTGAATTCTTTCTTTTACTTTCAGTAGTTCAAGATAAGCATATAAAGTTAATAACAGTAATAAATATATGCATCGTATATATAAATATCAGTCCAATTAATTAGCATTTATTCAAACCGCTTTTGTGTGATCTATTTAAATTAACTGAGTGCTGATTAACCTGGGTTCGATTCCCCAGGCGGGCGACCAGCGTCCTTTCTGCGTAGAGTTTGCATGTTCTCCCCGTGTCTTCGTGGGTTTCCTCTGGGTGCTCCGGTTTCCTTCCACAGTCCAAAGACATGCAGTTAGGCAAACTGGAGTTGCTAAATTGGCCTTACGTGTGCATGTGTGAGTGACTGTGCATGTCTGTGTGTCTGCTTTGCGATGGACTGGCGACCTGTGCACAGTGTTTCCTGCCTTCCGCCCATTAAGTGCTGGGATAGGTTTCAGCATCCTCCAAGACCCAGGATGATAAGCGGCGTAGAAGTGAGTAAGTGAATGCAGATCACTCAATCTAGTAGCTAAGGAGCTATTTAACACATTTGTGTGAAGGCATTTAACATAATGTTTTAATCATAATTGTTTTTTTTATTTTATTCTGTTCCGATAGTTCAACACCTAAACTGCTTTGTTGTTGCTCACACTTATGTCTTTGTGAGCATTTTATTTAAAGCTTCACTATATAAGATCTGGGGATTTGGAGACCTCTCTGGTGGAAATGTGTAATTGCATACAACGTGTGGAAGAGCATCAGTTGTGCCTTGGACCTCTTTCCTGGGCAGACGTTTGTGAGAGAACTCAGTCAAGACTTGGTGAACAATGTGTTTCCTGAGAATATAAGTGAATAATCTATTAAGTAATGCTATCTTTTTCAATTTTAGCTAAAAAATCTTACATAGTGCAGCTTTATGGCCAAAAAGATCCCAAAAGAGAACAAAGTCAGTACTTCAGATAGTACTTACATTTTTTGAAGCTGCTACTTCTTTTTCCACTCAAGCTGGATTTTGCAAGCCTACTTTTACTTCTGCTTGATTCACTACTTCACTGCAGCAACCCCTATTGTATTTTTAACACTTTATTTGGATAGCCCGCTGTAGATGCTTCATAGATGCTTACTTTGCATTTAACCACACATCAATTAAATTCACAGAAGTATTTTAACCCTAAACTCAAAACTCACTGTAACCACAATCTTGACCTCAACACTAAACCTAATCCCAACTCCAAAGCAGGTCCTAAAGAATCACCTGATATTTTTTTTTAAATAATTTGATTATTTCTAGAGTATCGGTTGGGAGCTATTTAGCTAAAATGGCTCTATTATTTAAGAATAGCTCAGACTCTTTTACTCTCATAGCTCATGGGATGTCAACAGATGCTCGGTCGAGTCGCGAGACCGCAGAGGGCGCGAGCTGCAGTGCCCTGCAGCAGCCACCGGGGGGAGATCGAGGTCCTCAGAAACACACACACACACACATATACGCACGCATTCACGCACACATCCACACACTGAGGCGCGCGCGCGCCAAACGGAGCGAGAGCGCGCGCGGCGGACAGATGCGCGGCGCGTCGCCGTTTACCTCCGGCTGTGTCTGTGTCGCGCGCCATCGTTAAACTTTCAGTCATCGCGATTGCGGCTCGCGCCTCTCCTTTGATTTCTCCGGAGCTGCTGCACCTGCTCCTGCATTTTCGGGAGGCGAGAGAGTGACGGAGCTCTCCTGCAGCGGTGCATGCTTTTTTTGGGGGAGGGTGGAGGAGAGAGAGAGAGAGAGAGACAGAGAGAGACAGAGACAGAGAGACAGAGATGTGCAGGTGATGATGATGAGAGGTCCTGTTGAACGGAGACGCCGCGCGCAGAGGCAGCAGAGAAAGTGGCAGCAGCAGCAGCATCCCTCGAAGGCGCGAGCACAATCTGAAGGGTGAGATGCTCTGCGGGGGGCGCGGCTGCTTTCCCGGGGATTTCGGGCGCGAGGGCTTCACGACCCCCCCTCCCATCTCCCGAGAACTGGGCTGGAGGTGGAAACCGAGAAGCCGTCCTTCCTCCGCGCGCTCCTCATGTAAGTGGGCAGACGGGGAAAAAGGGGGTGGAAGGTGGGGTGCGTGCGCGAGACGCGGGGGTTTTGTGATGAATTGCCTGTGGGATTTTTCCAACATAATAATCACTAATATCACTGATATTACTGATAGCACGGATTGTCTCTTGCCGTGCTGGTCTGGTACTGTTATAATAACATCATCGTCGTTGTTGTTATTTTCATTATTATTATTATTATTATTATTATTATTATTAATAATAATAATATTGAAGAAAGCATGGAGTGTTTGGAACCCTATTGTCATTGGATTCTCCTTTTCATTACCATTATTATTATTATTATTATTATTATTATTATTATCATGACGTGCGTTCTCTCGCGCATATTGAGCCATGCTTGATTATCTAACGCCACTTTAAGCGCAGAATTTTTCTTTTTTTTCTTCCTTCTTTTTTCATCCTTTTTGTTTCTGAATGCAGTGCAGTCTGTAACCTGTTTTGTTTTCATGCCCTTTGCAGCTGTTGCTGGCGTCTAAAGAAACCAGTGATTCATTCAGAGCCACTGGAGGGGCAGAGGAGAGCACAGCACCCCCCCCAAACACACACACACACACACATACACACACCTCCCTCAGCCCAAAGATGGCAACCACAGATCTCTAACGGGGCTGAAAGTCTCGTCCTCGTGCACGTGATCTCAGGTGACTGTGAGGGACATTTGCCGCGAGGACACTCGCTGATCTTATGGAGGACTGTAAGGACTGCGTGCGCCTCTGGACACTCGCTGACCCCCTCATGGACTCCGGAGGCGCGGAGCTGAGTTTATTGCGCGGAAAGACCTTGAAAGTGAAAGTGCTCGCGCGCCAGCAGTCTGTGCGCGCCCTGTGACTTAACGGCTCACGTCTCAGCGTGGGTTTTGAGAGCTTCCAAACAAACAAACAAACTAACTAAAAGAAAACAAAAACAAAAGCGCGTTTCTATGGACGTTCATTAATGCCCAGAGCGGAACAGCGCCCGACTTTCAAACGTCTCCGTTTTCGTCCCGCAGACCTGCGCTGAAAAGCCAGCGCGTGACGGTGGAGCGAGATGGAGTTCGCCATGGTGGGCGCAGATAGCGGCGGCTGCAACCCGCACGTGCCGTACGCCTACGCGCAGGCTCGCGCCAGGGAGCGGGAGCGCGAGAGGGAGAGGCATTCTCGCGCAGCGGCGGCTGCTGCGGCTGCGGCGGCAGCGGCGGCGGCGGAGAGCGGGGCGGCCGGCGAGGGAGGCGGGACCTGCGGCCACGGCCAGCAGCATCAGGTTCGCGCCGCCTCCTCGGCGATGGCGAGCGGCAACGGCGCCTCGCGCCCCTCCTCCTCGTCCTCCTCCTCCTCCTCCTGTTGCTGCTCCTCCTCCTCTCAGCAGCAGCAGCAACAGCCGCCACAACAGCAGCAACAGCAGCAGCTCCAACAGCAGCAGCAACAGCAGCAGCAACAGGCGCAGCGCGAGGCGCAGCCGCAAGTTCTCCGCGAGCGGAAAAAGGCGCGTGGGGTCGCGCGCTGGAGACGCCCGCGCGCGCCTCTCGGTGGCGAGCTGCGCCACTCGGAGCTGGCGCTCCTAGGCTCAGAGGAGGACGTGATGATCGAGGAAGAGGAGGCGACGGGCGAGGAGGAGGAAGAGGAGGGCGCTCGCGCGCGCTGCGGCCCGGCGTACGACGCGGACGAGCACGTGGTGGACGACGCGGATGACGCCACCCTGGACGACGACGATGACGACGAGACGGCCTCGCTTACGGGCGGGCGGCCGCGCGCAGGCTACGGACGCGGTGCGCGCAGCGCGCGTGGCGCGCTCGGAGAGCGCGGTGGCTGCTGCGAGCGCGTGGTCATCAACGTGTCGGGCCTGCGCTTCGAGACGCGGCTGCAGACGCTCGCCCAGTTCCCGGACACGCTGCTGGGGGACCCGGCCAAGCGCATGCGCTACTTTGACCCGCTGCGCAACGAGTACTTTTTCGACCGCAACCGGCCAAGCTTTGACGCCATCCTCTACTTCTACCAGTCGGGCGGGCGCCTCAAACGGCCCGCCAACGTGCCGCTAGACGTCTTCTCCGAGGAGGTGAAGTTCTACGAGTTGGGCGACGAGGCCATGCTCAAGTTCCGCGAGGACGAGGGCTTCGTGAAGGACGAAGAGAAACCGCTGCCCGAGGATGAGTTCAAGCGCCAGGTGTGGCTCCTTTTTGAGTACCCAGAGAGCTCGAGCCCGGCACGCGGCATTGCCGTGGTTTCCGTGCTCGTCATCGTCATCTCCATTGTGATTTTCTGCCTCGAGACGTTACCCGAGTTCCGCGACGAGCGTGACGCACCCGGAGGCGCTGGCGCGCACGTGTCCACGCACGGGGTCAACGGCACGCACGCTCCCGGCGCGAAGGTAGAAGAGGCCACGGCCTTCACGCCCTTCAACGACCCGTTCTTCGTCGTAGAGACTGTGTGCATCGTGTGGTTCTCCTTCGAGATCGCCGTGCGCTTCTTCGCCAGCCCCAGCAAGGCGGCCTTCTTCAAGAACATCATGAACTCCATTGACATCGTGTCCATCCTGCCTTACTTCATCACGCTGGGCACGGACCTAGCACAGCAGCACCCTCAGCAAGCGCAGCAGGGCAACGGGCAGCACGCCATGAGCTTTGCCATCCTGCGGATCATCCGCCTGGTGCGCGTCTTCCGCATCTTCAAGCTGTCGCGCCACTCCAAGGGCCTGCAGATCCTGGGCCACACATTGCGCGCCAGCATGCGTGAGCTGGCACTGCTCATATTCTTCCTGGTGATTGGCGTGGTGCTCTTCTCCAGCGCCGTGTACTTTGCGGAAGCTGATGAGCCGGCGTCACAGTTCACAAGCATACCAGATGCCTTCTGGTGGGCCGTGGTCACCATGACCACAGTGGGCTATGGTGACATGAAGCCCATCACGGTGGGCGGCAAGATCGTGGGCTCGCTGTGCGCCATCGCCGGTGTGCTGACCATCGCGCTGCCCGTACCTGTCATCGTGTCCAACTTTAACTACTTCTACCACCGTGAGACGGACAACGAGGACCAGACGCAGGCCGTGGAGTATCCACCCCCCGGCTGCCCCTACTTCCCAGACTTCCTGAGGAAGTTCAAGGGTTCACCGTCGGGATCCTCGCTGGGGGACAAGGCGGCCGAGTACATGGAGATGGAGGAGGGGGTTACGGAGTCCCTGTGTGGGGTGGACAAACGCAGCCCCAGCAGGGGCAACGGCACGGACGCAGGCAGGAAAAACAGCACCAATTCTAGAAGCCTACAGACAGATGTATGATTATGAATGGCAAAGCTGTTGGTGAGCTTGTGAAGGGTTTGGACACGTGAAGAAGATTGCACAACTTATTACTGATCAGCAGCACACGTGCACGTGATGCGCGTTTTTGGACACGCACACATGCATACATGCAGGCACGCACACATGCATACATACATGCATGCACATAGACAAATACATATACACACACACACACACACACACACACACAACAGACACGCATGCGCACACGTGGACAAGCATACACATATGCACAGGAACACACTAGTGCACACGCATACGCCCTTACATGCACACATGCACGCAAACACACCCACACAAACCCAAACGCACGCACGCACGCATCATTTCTTACGGACCTGAGCTGAAACATTTTTGCAACGTGGCTACTTTTTTGTAGAGAAACACAACCCTGTAATCAGACGACAGGCAACGCAAAAATCACCAGCTTTACGTGACGCGGAGGTGTGAGTACGGGCCCACCTGTAGACTGTAGACAGAATCGAACAACAAACCCGGTTCAAGGAGCGCAAAACAAGTATTTTTGCATAGGCACTTTATGAGTTACATTCGTCAGTAATTGTAGGAAGAAGAAGCAAGCTGTTATCGTAATGCTATTATGCAATAACGTTGAAATCATTTGCACTATCATTAAAATTTGTTCTAGTCTCCCAGCTTCAACCAGAGAGTCAGACACGGACCTTAGAGAGAAAGAGAGAGAGAGAGAGAGGGGAAGAGAGCGGGAATTCAATAACTACTTAGTAACTCTGCTTTGACTTAATACATGGTTGTTGTAGAAGTGAATGAGCAGTTTGTCATGTCCTGCTACCTTCTGTCCAGTCACCTTCGAGTTCATTAGACAGCAACATGTTGCTCTTCTTAAGGCTCCTATACTGACAACACTGAAAAGTCAGCATGCCAGTCTGAACTACCACTGGCAAAGCTCAGTTCAGCCCCCAAAGGTGAAAGAGTTAGCACCAGTTATTCAATACTTTAATGAGGGTTAAACAAACCAGTCGTTGTTAACATAAACACTAACATTTCTGTTTGTCCTCCACTCAAATCGACTAGGTGTAACACGTCAGATCACCCATTGTGGCATGACTGACATTTATTTCCAAAGTGTAGATGCCCACCATGCCCCTTCCCCCAAAACCTTTTGGCCCCAGAGAGCCAGGCCACAATACCGGTTCTGCATTGAATCACAAAAAGTCTCTCTGACGCCACGGCTAAACGGACTGTCCTGCCATTGTTGGAGTATCTGCTGCTTTTGAAGGGAATGCTTCAATGCTTCGCGCAACTTATTCACTCTCGGTCCCTTTAACCACAATGACAATGCATCCCTTTACAAGGACGGGAGACCCGCATCAAAGCAGGAAAAATGAACTGGCTCGCTAGCTGGTCCTGAGGTGGACTTTTATGCACAAAAAACAAAACAAACCCCCCCACGTGCCACTCCAGAGGGGCAGCCGGCCTTCATGGAGCGAGCAAGGACCACATCTAGCCAGAGCAGATCACTGTGCGAGGTAAGCATGTACATTTATATTTATGTTTATCCAGTATATGCAAAAAGTGGATACCCATAGAAACCGCAGGGTGTTGGCATCTAAAACTCAAAAGCCCTACACTAGTCTGGAAAATTGGAAGGTTCCTCCATGGTTTTTGGGTTAGGCCTATGGTTCCAGGAAATTCCTATTTGGTGTAGAGTTTTATTTTAACTTTCATAAGGGCTCTTCCCATTTGGAAATCACTTTTGCAAAAATGAGACCCAAAAATGATTCATCTGTGGCATCAAAAAAACTCTTTTTCCATTTTTTTTTACTTTTAAGACCATATCGAAGTTGATTTAGTTTAATAATTACACTCTAAAGAATAAATGGTTCTTTTGAGGGATGCCACTTTTGGCTCCTTAAAGAACCTTTTAACCTGTGATTCTTCACATTTTTTATTAATAGGATGTGAGAGAAAACAGTGAGAAAAAAGTTTTCGTGACAATGAAAGATACCCAACCCAAGAACCTTTTAGAAACCTTTATTTTTATGTATGTACTGACAGGCCCTTTTTAAGCAGTGTGGTTTGAAAAGTTGTGCTTGAAGTGAAATTGTTGTGCCTATGCTGGCACTTTAGAGGCATCCAGATGTTCACACATGTTTGGAGGTGCTGCTGTCAGTTCCTTGGCCTGGGTGATGTTGCATTCATGAGGTGAAATGCTGTTTTAAAGCTGCAAAATAAGGCTGTGTCGCTGAAATAGCTTTGTGTGCTCAGCATTTGAGCAGTTACTGCATGATGTATAAATTACATGCATAATCAGAGGTGGGTAGAGGATCATAAACCCATACTGAAGTAAGAGTATTGTTGCTGCATTGAACTACTGACTCAAATAGAAATAAATGTACCAAAGACAGCTTGAATAGATGTAAGATATTAGCTTTAACCCTCAAGCACTGACTTCTCTTACTCCTATAGAACTGGAACATCTAGCATCTGAAGTTTGTTAGGTGCAGTTCTTTGTGTTTTGGGAACCTTTTGGTGTAACATAAAATGCTAATCTGCAAAGCTTTTCAGTTCAAAGGAATTCAATGTGACTAGCTAAACTGGAACTGAGGAAAACTAGATGCCGTTCCTCATAAATATACTTGAGTAGAAGTAAGTGTGTTAGAAATGCTGAAATAAAGTGCATGTTCTCACTTAAAGGTGAGTTCTACTGATTTTCAACATTTCTGCATAATTACACTGTTGAGATGTAAACAGTGCCATTCAGAGTGGTTTGATGTGACATGCTCCATTCTAAAGAAACTCACCAAGTCAAAATTGTGGTGGCAATAGGAACCAGACGTCTGAAGAGATTAATGAGTCCATAAACTACCACCCAAAAGGTTATTATATGAAACGATTGCAAATATGCTGCCTGATGCCTTAAACTTTCCCTAACAATAGTTTTATGACAGTGCTTGGGCTAAACCATATTTTTAAATGTATTTATGGTGGAGAGATACATGCAGGGTGTTGTAAGGCAAAATAGCATCCAAATAAAACATTTAAAACAAACAATTTTTTCAAATTTACCACTGGTTTACCATTTTTGTATATGTAGTGTATCAACACTACATATACAAAATCAGAAGATGTGTATGTTCGTTGGTCATTTTGGATTGTAAACAAAATGGCTGTATTTGCAATGTAGACATCTGGACCTCTGGTTCCTATTACCACCGTTGTAAAGAAATGTGTCAGTAGTTCTTTCTACAATGCATTATTGTATAAAAAGTCTAATCAGACAACTCTGAAGGAATGTTTACACCAGTTGTGTGAGACGTTTGGGGGAAAAAGAATTTCCCTTTAAATGCATGTAACCCAGTAAATATAACTAGTTTCTCTCCACCTCTGCACATAAAACCATAAAGATCGAAGCACTTAAACATTCACTTTACACCTTTTGCCAGCAAAGCTCTCAGCTGCTGAAGTGCTAAAGTTACGAGATGAAGTAAGGATTGGTCTGTTATCTTCGCTGTGGACAGTGTCCTTGCTTGGTTACCATGACAACAGAAACCTTCCCGCCTCATTAAATGCTCTGTTTTTCCTGTTTAGACGGTCCAATCATGCTCTTGCTGTTTGGTAGCAGGATAATTATGTTTTAGTCTACAGTAAACCTATATTCTGTCATCAATAAAGTATGCACTTTGTGGATAATTCTGCCATTCATTGTATGATCTGCTGCTTTTTCTCGTTCTCCAAATCAGAACTCCTAAGGGACGTGCTGGACTTGTGTAAAAACACGTTGTCTAATGAGCATTATTAAAGTCCTCCATCTCTGAGCAAAAGCCCAAACGTCTCTTGATAGCTGTGGTCAAAGTTGATTAATAATTCATGGATATGGTAATTAACAGGCATTTCCCAACATGCTCAAATGTTTAACCCCGAACCTGAAGCAAAAACCACAAGGGCCTTTAGCATACATGGACAGCAGCCTTTACGCAGTAGAGGTACAGTCTCAGGTTACAGGAGCTATCCACTTACGCATTTGGTTGATCCACTGGTGATAGGAATTACATAATGTAATCAGATCACAGAGGTAATGTCCTCCTCTTGTTAATCCAGAGGCTTTACTTGAAAGAAGATATTGTTTCCTTTATAACCAGTGTTTAACAGCAATAGCTCGATACTTTGAAAGAGCTCCTCATTACCAGGAACCTCACATGCTCACAGTATGACTAAAAAATAAATGTAGCTGTCAAACATGATCTATTTTACTATATTTATCATGTCTTCATTTCAGCAGGAAATCATAGAGCATGCTGTATTGTATTTGTCATATTGAAAGAATTACATTTGTCTGTGACACAGTGGTGCTAATGACTTGTTTTGAAATGTTGAAATGCATTAGTGAATTATTCAGATCTCTCTACATATGTATATGGTTGGTATAGCTGGGCATTTAGTGTGAAGTAGTGTTGAGAATGAATAATGCAAACTAATTTGAAGATTACATTAAGAAACAGGGCCAGAAGGACACTTTCATTCAAATTCTTTGCAACATAGTGTTTTTATATAAGTCTTGTTTACATGCGTAGAGTGGTTTAGTGCAGAAGGTGGGGGGGTGTGGCCATCCTAGTGACTGAAGAGGAGTGAATTCCTAGATCTTTCTGATTGGAGGTTTGTTGTGATTGCTTTTGGTTGTTAAATTGGACAAAATTGTTATACGTATTATCATTATTATTATTGTTGTTATCAGTAGTAGTAGTAGTTGTAGTAGTAGTAGTAGTAGTAGTAGTGGTATTTAAAAACTGCTTCGTTTTTAAAGAACTATGGCTTAAATCCATAGGCATTTAAATTTTGTAACACGTCTTAAATCCTCAGGCAACCATGAGACTCATGGGAAATGTCTGTAGCGTCAATGACATCATTCATTTGCCTTTAGTCAGGGGTCTACAAAGGCAGCCTGTGAACAGATTTTAATTGGCCTGTGGCTTCTGTTTTAAAGAGTGTTGTAAGTGACCCGCCAACCAGTACGCAGCAGTTTTTCTTCTTACCTGATGGGGGCAGCAGTATTGTAAAATTACACTGTAATGCTCGGCACTGTGGTAACAAAGTTAGCTAAAGTTTAAGAGCCTTTCTTAAGACGTTAGGACCTGTAGCTCAATTTACTGAATGACATTTAGTCAAGTCTACACTTACAAAGCACAAGCCTAACATTGAGAACCGAAGATTTTAGGGAGATGGAAATTTGAATACTTTTTCCATTGAGAGCCACAGCAAATGCATGTGCCTCATATTTCAAAAGACTAATGAATGCCATATCAACAGACATTAAACAAAGCATGGACGACAAATATTCAGGAGAGGGCAGAGAAGCTAAAGCAATTAACGATTTAATTACATTATATATAAGCACCTTCCGATCCAAATTGCTGTGAGCAATCCAACAATAAAAGAAACCTTATGCATCTTTTATACAGTGGTAGGAAACACTGTCATATACAGAAAGCTCATATTCTTTGTGCTGGTGTTTTGAAAACTTAGTAGTCTGAATCATCTGTAAATAATGTTTTTTGCCTTCAGGTATTTTGACACAGTACGATCTGGCCTCTTTGAAAAAAGTTTGGACACCTCTGCCTTTAGTATAGCAGACTGAGCTTGCTTCACTCTCTGATGTTTGAAAATGACAAGGATGTTTAAAAGCAAGCATACCTTAGCATGCTACCTATGATAATAGGTGACACTGCCAGCTTGTTACTGCAAACTTTAGCCCTCCCCTAAAAGGACTAATGCTGTGATGCCTAATTTGTTAGCCAGCTAGCTAGTTCATGCAGATAATCAAAGACTTCTGAAGGCAATAATTGGATAGATAGGTTGGGTTTGATTAGGACCGGAGCTAAAGTCAGCAGGAAGACAGATCTCCTGGAGCAGGGTTGGTGACCACTGGCATAGCAGATGTCTTTTATTTGGAAGCTAATATAAATGAGCAACCCAGTTACAGTTACAATGCCACATTACTATTACAAATAGCTTTGGTAGGAAAGAAATTTACACTGCAACATGTTTCTGCAGGCCCCCTAGTTACCATTCCATAGAGTGGAAATTGACTCAGATATTTAGAATTAATAGGATGAAATAAAATGTTTTTCCCCATTATTCTGTTGTCAGAACAAGAAACTGTTGGCTTTGTGTGTGAAATGTTGTGACTCATTGTTGAGCTGCTAGTGAGCAATAAGGATTGAAGGAACCCCTCACTGTGAATATAGTTAACACCTTTCCATAAAGACGGTTTTGCTTTAAAATAAAACACACAGCACAACTGCAGTTTTCCTCATATTAAAACAGCACCACAGTAACAAGAAAGCATTTGAACATTTCCCCAAAGACAAGTGTTCAACAAACACTTGCTCACCTACAAAGATGCAGTTTTGCAAATCATACATGATTTTGTAAATCATTTCCATTTTAAATGTATTCCATTAACATTATTAAGGTAAAAACACTTAGCACAAAACCTAGAGTGACCTCCAAAAGCTAGAAATTGCTTTTC